AGAGATGGGCCCTGGCAGGGGTTCAAATGGCAAAGATTAAGAGATTGCTGATTCAGGAGGTACCCTGGAGAATCTTGTTAGCCAGACACATGGCCCTGAAAGGACAATGACCCCTCCTTCTAGTCTCACAGTGCTGCCCCTGGGATTCTGGAGTCCCAGTACCAGCTGCCTGCTTCTGTGAGCTGAGATCCTTCCCCTCACCCTCTTCACTGAGTCAACTCTTCTTTTCCAAGGCCATGAGTAATACACAAACTGCTTTCTGATGGATAACCGAAAGCTCAGAGAAAGGCAACACTAATCCCCTCCCTATCTATCCTAAAGTCTCTTGTCCCAAGGGTGAACTTTTACCCTGTATAATAATCCAGAACCACCTTTCTCAAGAAGGTCATGCAAGTGCCAGACTGTCTCCAGAGACTCAGAACCCATCCTTCTGGTTAAAAGTACCAAGAAAATAGCAATTACCCTTTTGCCACTTTCTATGTGCCTTCATATGTGCGTGCGCATGGTCATATATGGTACACGTCTGAGTCTGGAAGAGGACAATCATCCCACCAGACACCATGCCCAAGCCCATACCAGCCACACCCACCACACAACCCTGTAGGGATGACCTGGCTCAAACAGGACTTCTGAAGGCTGTCGATGCAACACTCACCGCTAACAGTGCCAGCGCCACTTGGAGCTTGCCTGGGTATGGACCCTGCAACAGGCAATACAGTGCGGCCCCATTTCCAGCCAATGGCACTGCACACACCTCCCATACCACGGTTTTACTAGGACGTGGATGCCTTACAAATGAAAACTCTGAAGCTATTTTTGTTTGTGGCAAAAGAGTTTGACAGTGGGAAAGACTCAGCAGTGGGGTAAGGGAGAAATGCAGGAGGGAGATTACAACCAGGAAAACTCAGAAATGACGATCGCGGGAAAATCTTGGAAAAAGAAACCACTTTCTCTTGCTTTAAAAAGTCAGCTGCCCTGATAAACAGCTTCGGTTTTGGAGGCAGAGAATCAAAAGGGGACAGACCTCTCTTCCTGGGGTCTGAGCACAGATAAAAAAAAAATGGCAAAAATGTCACACCACCAAGATCTGCCCTTCAATGACCTCAGGAGAGAGCCTCCAGAAACTGGAGCTGGTCTGAGGGACCGGTTGACGCTCCCAGGGAGTCTGCCCTGCGTCTGTTGGTGGGATTGTTAGGTATGAAATGGGTGGGGGAACCAAGCTGGAGATCCTTGCGGCACAGGCCTGGGACACACAGATAGCCTTCTCCACAGTGCCACTCCTAGGATGGTCAGGGCAGTTTCCCCTGAACTCTTTTGGTTTTCAGCCTTCTCAACAGCAAAAGGGAGCAAGCTGCTAATCCTTCCTCCTCTGGAGTCTTGTAGTATTCAAGAAGCACCACGGAAAAAATAAACACATCAACTCCTTTCTGCGGGCCAGTATATGTCCACATGGGCCTTACACATGCTTTGCACTGAATGAACGCCCAGAAGCCCCTTTCCCCGAGATAAACATTCAGGCTCCCTTGAAGTAAGAGTAAGTAATGCATCGATTCATGCATGCATGACCACTCTGTAAAACCTGATTACGGATTGCATTGTGTCTATCCCCCTGTGAAAGTTCAGAGGCATCTCATTGCCTTGATTTCAGGTCTGGAACCTCAGCCTGTTGCTGACTTATCAAGGCTGCCCTGAATGAAAGGAGAATACCGTAGGCAGAATAAAATGCCAGCACTAAGCAAGTGCAGGAATTTAGTTGATTCTAGGTAACTTCTCTGCCCATCCCCTGTGTAAACACCTTGTAAAGCAAAAGAGTCTTTGAAACCCCTTCTCTGGGGCCGTTCCTAACACTTCAGAGACCTTTCCTAGGGTCCACAGGGTGGAAGATGTGACAGGCACGACCAGCTGGACCAGCCCCCAGCCTCTGGCAGGCGCACCACAGACTCGCTGGGCTGGCGAACTTTGCGAAGCGCCCCAAACGGCTCCCAGCTTCCACTCTCAGCCATTTCTCTCCTCGGCTCACAAAGAGCAGGGACGGAGCAAACCGTCGCCACCTGCAGACAGATCCCGGGGCGCTGCTTCTGGCACCCGGCAAGGGAAGGCAGGCCAATGGCAAGAGGGCAGAGGTTCACACTCCCACCCCCAAACCTCTCAGAGCCTGGGTGCCCAGAGGTGGCTCCGCAGCCAAGGGAACCGACGCCCCCAGGCTCGCTGCCTGCTCCCCCACGGCCACGGCCCCACCCCCAATCCTTCCGGAGACCCAGCGCCCACCCACCCGGGCGCGGGAGTGGGAGGGTGCCGCGTGGGCAGCTGGAGCAACAGGCGTGGGAGCAGCGCTCCTCGCACTTGCTGGCTCCAGAAGGCTCGGTCGCTTCCCTCTTACCTTCGCCGAAGCCAGCCCCAGGCCCCGCGCCCCGCGCGCGCGAGGAAGCTGCGGCCGGGGGCCGCCGAGGCACAGAGCGCCCAGCAGCGCGGGGAAGCGCCCAGCAGCCGCCGCTCGGGCGGCTCCTCCTCGCCGGCGAAGTCTCGCACGTTCCTCCCTCACTCGGTCGGTTCGTGTGTCGGTCCGTCCGGGGGGCCGTCCTTCCCCCGCTGTCGCCGCCGCCACCGCCGCTCCAGCCCCAGCTCGGCAGCGCGTCCCCTCCCCGCCTAGCCGCTCCGCTCTCGGGCTCGTGAGCTCCGGTTCGCTTGTTCCCTGCCCCCGCCGCTGCTGCTGCCGGTGCCGCGCGGAGAGGAGCCGGGCCGGCCACGGGGCTGCCTCTCCCGAGGTCCCTCTCCCGAGGAGGCGGTGGGGGGCGCGGCGCGGGCGGGGCGGAGAGGAGAGTCCGGGGGAGGCGGCGAGGCTGCGCCCTCCGCTCCCCACCGATCCCCCACGGGTCGAGCGGCCCCAGGCCGGGCCCGAGAGCGCAGAGCCACCAGGCAGCGCAGGGAGCGAGGAGGAGGACGCGGGAGCCTCGTCGCGGGAGGGTGCCCAGGGCGAGGGCGTGCGAGGGGGAGTGACTCTGCGCGAGGGTGTGTGTGTGTGTGTGTGTGTGTGTGTGTGTGTGTGTGTGTGTGTGTGTGTGTGTGTAGAGGGGCGCGCGCGTGAGTGGGGGGTGTAGCGGGAGGGGGGGGCGGGGAGACTAGGCAGAGCCTGGTGCGTCTTCTCAGGAGAGTGGAGGAATCTTAGGGTGTGCCTGGAGGTGGTGGTGGAGTGTGCCGCCGACTCGGGTGTGAGCGCGTGTGCCGGCGAGGGTGGGCATGGGGCGAGCGTGGCAAGGTGAGCTTGGCTTGGGAGTGGGGGAGGAGCCGGGCGCGGCGTGATCATGAGTTCGGGGGCGTGTGTGGCTGGGGACTTGGAAAGAGGTAGGGAGCACCGGCATGTGTGCGCATGGGGTGTGTACACTTAACTGGATGTCCGTTTCCCATTCACTGTCCACGCGGCAGAGCAACTCCTCTCCTTGGTCATCTAGTGAGGCTCTGCCTATCTCCGCGCAAGCTTCCAAGCTGACCCTGAACTGTCAGCTGCTTGTGCCAAAGCTGGAAAGGTCTCAGGGGTGTCGAACTGCCTGAGCCGCTTTCCTACAGGAGTGAGAGGTCATGATCGGGATTTGCTCCAGTCCTTCACCACGGTTGTTCAGAATTAAGATCGAGGATTTGGGAATGTTAACTCTCACTTCCCTATCTTCCCAGTACGGGCCCAGGCCTTCGGACCTTTCCAGAAACCCAAAGATCCCTATTGCTTAATACTTCGACCCAGGATGGGGAGTGGGAGACTGACGGTCGCCCATGGGGCGTAGTGTCCAGCCAGTAGTCCCCTGGTCACCGGGGCGGTACGTCTGTAGTGCTGCCCCGGCAGCTGAGCCAACTGGCTTTCCGGGTGTCTCTGGCCTGAGTGCTGGGAATTCCGGGCCTGGAGATCGCGAAGCAGGCAGCTTTGTGCCTCTGCAGGGACCGGAACGCTCTGGCTTGGGGGATCGCAGTTCTGAAGTGTGGAGAGGTGTATGCTGAGACACAAATGGAGAGAAATGCGAAATGCGCGGCGAGGGTGACAGTGGACTTGGCAGGGCATGCCTTTCACTGTGGCTGGAAAAAGACCTTCCTGAGTCCAGAGTAGCGGTTCTGACTTGTGGCAAACCGAGCCCGCTCCAGAAGTACAGGGTGAAGAGTAGTTTTTGAGGTGTCAGCTACTCTGGGCCTCTGGTAGCTCGGAGCTTCTCATAGGCTCATTTACTCTAATCAAAGCTTCCTCAAGTTGTCAGTCTGAAAGGTGCACAATTGGCCCTTCAGGAGGTGGGCGTGGACCCCATTAGCATTTGCCAAGAGTCCTAGAACCCTGGGGGATTTGCATACTAATTTGCATACAGTAATAATGATTAACAACAGTGCCACTCCCTGGCCAACCCAGGAAGAATTCAGGGAAGGCCCTGGCAGGGATTCTCCCTCCCTCTTCTCCTTGGGGAAGAGGTTTTGATGTTGGGTTTTGTTTTTGCTTTTTTAATTTGTTATTTTTTAATAGTTGCTGTGACCCCTGAGGGAATGTACTTTGTCCCTGAAATGGTCTGGTCCAACAGGCACACTTTCCTTTGGTTTTCCACCTTCTGCCCGACAGTGGAAATTCAAAATTTTATTTCTGCCTAGGTTAGGATTTCCTTTACATTCCTGCAGTTGTTCTGCAGTGGGAAGGTAGTTTTGGAGTCAAGTCTTCCAAACTGTCAGGGAACAAATGGTTACCTAGGAACAGCAGTAGACTCTTGGAGTGATCTATTAATGAGACAACATGTGCCCTCCAGGGTTTTGGAAACCCTAATTGAAGCCAGGACACTCACTGGACACCCTGCCCCACCTTCTCCAATCCTGTCCCTCAGATGCTCCTACCTGGTAGTCTAAGAAGTGTCTGTGAACTGCTCTTTTTGTCACCAATAACTGGCAAAAAGTAAGGGAGGCTTGGATTTCTAGTTCAAGCCAGTGTGGGTTTTGTTTACAGATGCTGAGGAAAATGGAACAAGTAGAGGAGAAAGGAGGTGCTGGATCTGAGACACTGACGGAAGAGACATTGTCCAGGAGACTTTGGGTACCCGCCCTCCATCTCTTACTGGAATCTCCTCAGCCATGTCTGTTGGTTCCTTCCCCCCTCTGCCTCTGGCCCAGCCTGGCCGGGATTTTTCATTTGCTTTTCCCCCATGACACGGCCGCTTTTCCTTTAACTCTCGGCTTCTATTTAAAAAGCTAATTTGGGAGCTTGTCGATGCTCCCAATTCAGACATTTTAAATAGGAACTGAAAGTCAGGAGCTGCCAGGGCACTAGGTTTCCTCCTCTCACCACTGGCTCTGCTGAAGTGTTGGTTCAGTCACTCTGGCCCCAGTGAGTGTGCGTGTGCATGTGCGTGTGTGTGTGTGTTTGTGTGTGTGTGTGTGAATGCCCTGCAAGCTCAGGGTGTATTTCAGGTTATCCTTTCTATTTAAGGATAGTGTTCCTATAGAAGACTCTGAGTGTGTGTGTGTGCGTGCACACACGTGCACGTATGTGTGTGTGTGTCTGTATCCTTTCCTGCACACAGGAGGATTCTTCACTAGTCCCGAGGCTCTGGCCACTGTTTGCAGAGCTTGTCATCCTGGGGTCTGTTAGAGGAAGGAGCAGCATTGCTCAAAGTCAGCTTTGTCTTTGCTGACATGCCAGGCTGTTATTGTCTGTGCAGCACTTTGTACTCAAACTTGCTCTTTGAAGCTTGCGTGAGCTTCCTGAAGGGTCACTCTCACCCCCCCCCCCCACTCCTTGTTCCTGTCCTACTTTGGCTGTTTGTCCCATGCTGGGCAAGCATTTTGGAGTTGGGACTCTTCTGAGGGTTGCAAGCTTTATACCTGTCAGAGTGCGGTGAGCCTTGAAGGAAAAAGAAAATAGACTTTGAGGTCATGGTGATTAGGTTTGAACCTGCCTCTGTTGTTACCTAGCCGTGGGACCCTAGGGAGCATGCTTGACCTCTCTGTGCCTTGGGTTTTTTTTTTTTCTCGATTCTACAATGTCTAATGATAGAATTGTGGCACTTCAGTAAATATCATAGCGAACATACTTAGAACAATGCATGAAATTTGGGCAGTTGGTGGTTGTTCAAGATAGGAAGTACAGAGAAATCTGTCTAGGGAAGGAGTTATAACTGCCAGATTGTGTGCGTGTGCGGGTGTGCGTGCATATACATTAAGTCAATGTGCACATGACAATACAGATGTCAGGCCACAGCCGACTGTGTCAAATTTACCTCACTGGCATAGCTGAGTCCCTAATCTCCAGAAGACCATAAAAGAACAGAGGCAGGGTTGGACGGACAGGGAAAAGAAAGAGGATTGCCAGGCCAGTGTCCTAGGGGCCAGTTTTATGCAGGAAGAAGGAGTTCCAAGACCCGTTTGTCCACATGCTCCCACCTCCCTGCCTTACCCATATGTACAGCTGCATTCCATGGAATGAAACTGCAAAGGGAGTGCTCAACGGGTAGCCCCTAGTTCTTGGTGTCACTTTCTTTGGTCCTATCCCTGCCTCTCACCCCCACGCCCATCTCACCACTGGGCAGAGGAACTGATGAATTAACTCTTGGAGTCCGTTTCTCTCAGTTCAAAAGAATATGAGCATACGAGGAGGGACACAGTAGACCATAAGCAGGAAGAGGGGCTGTAAGCAACATAGGCTCTCTGAGGGATCCAGTACTACCCTGCAAATCTTGGAGTATATGCGGTGTCTTAGTTACCTTTCTAATGCTGTGATAAAACACCATGCTCAAGGCAACTTAGCGAAGAAAACATTTACTTTGGGGCTCATGGTTTCAGAGGGTTATGGTCCATGGCTACCATGGTGGGGAGCATGGCAGCAGACAGGTAAGCGTGGTGCTAGAGCAGAAACTGAGGGTTTACATTTGATCCACAAGCACAAAGCAGGGTGGTGGCGTTGGGGGCAGGGGGAGAGCTGGGAATCATGCGGACTTTTGAAATCTCCAAACCTACCCCTCCCCAGGACACACCTGTAACAAGACCACATTTCCTAATTCTTCCCAAATAGTTTCACCAACTGGGGACCAAGTATGCAAACATATATGTCTATTGGTGAGTATTTTCACTTAGACCACCGCATCTAGCTCTGCATGTCAACTTTGATCTGGGGAACGGCCCCATAATGGCTACTGGCTGTGTCTTCTATGCCCTCATGGTAGACATCACCACTGATAGATGCATGAAGGAAGATGATGGGCGGGAGGGGCTTCTATAGCAGTCACCTCATTCTTTGAGACAGGCCTCATAATTAGAACTTGGGGCTCACCAATTAGGCTAGGATATTTGGTCAACAAGCCCCAGGGATCCTCCTATCTTCACCTCCCCAGAGGGGATGGTAAGCACACACTACTGCACCTGGCTTTTTATGGGGGCATCAGATAGTAAACTCAGGTCCTCATGCTTGTGTGGCAAGCACCTTACCAACCGAGCTGTTCTTTGCTCCAGGTGCCTCCTCCTGCATGTCTCCAGGATGATTTCTTACTCTTCCTTGGTTCTCTGTCTGTCCTTTTCCAGGGAGCGTTTATACAGACTTGTTTAAGTTCATTCTCATGCCGAGGATCCTTTCCAAGCTCACCCTGGTTCCATCCTTGACCACCCTGCCTCTTTGCTACATCTCACTACCCTCTCCTGTTGGACTGTCACCATCAGTGCCCTCTCTCTCACTTCCAGTCCTTCCTGACCTCCACTTACACTGTTCTTACGCCATCTTTCTGATGGCATCTTGTCCCGTCACACCTTCAAGCCCTTGTACATGCTGCCACATCCTCCAGAAATGCCCACCACTGTTTTCTGTCTGTTCTCACATTGAGGGGAGAAGTGACCAAATGTTCATTCACCCCAGCCAGGGGACTGGTGACTGACCAACGATTGATTCCACTCAAGTGCAGTTGGCAAAGCGGTGAGTTTATTGCCATTATATACAGGAGCATGGGTAATGCAAAGGAGCTGATTGCCAGGAAGGCTAACCCAGCTGGCGGGGAGAGGACTTGGGAACCCTGCATCCTTAGAGGTCTTTGCCCAACTTGAAGCCAGCTCTACCAGACAACTTCCTCTCTGAGGAACCATTTACTGCTTTTGCAACCTTGGGGTTGATGGGGTGTGGTGGGATTCAGGGTATATATGATTGCGACTCTGCAAGTCTCTGTGTTTTCCACATTTTTAAGCTCATTAACTTGCTTATTCCTAGGAGTCTCTCTTTTCCTTCCAGGAGAGAATCTTGGTCTCAATTCCGAGGGAGTAGCTACCGATCACTCTCTTCTTAGCAGACTCAAACCTTAAATACCCAGCACAAGGTTCATGTGCTAAGTTTTGGTAAAAAATCTTTCCTGTATCCCAGATAAACTAACTATTCCCCCTTAGGGTGTACCCCAACCATGGTTCTTTCTACCTGTGTGGGCTTAGCTGTCTGCACAGAGGTGTCTCGTTCTAGCCTTTGTGTGCTGGAAGGCAGGGACTATGTGTCAGCCAACTGATTCCTGACACTGTGTGGCTCTAGGGAGCTACTCAGTGCATCTGGATTATGGTTTGTTCTAACAGTGAGTCCTGTGGTTCCCTTGATTATAGTGATGGAAAATGGCACAAGTTTGCCATCTGGTCAGTCTCCTGGTCCCTTTCTGATAGATCTCAATCAAGAACACGAGGAGGACATAATGGGAGTGGGCAGAGAAAAAGAACAAGGGTAATATTTTTGGGCCAATCCTAGATAAAAAGAGCCCCATGGTACCCCCTTCCAGGGAAAGGCTACAACATGAGAGTCAACTGGTTCTGCCTGTGCAGACAGGCCAGTGTTCAGCCAGATTGGTGTGTGGGGGCTCCTTTCTTCCCACCCTGGCAAGAAGTGAATCACATCCTCAGAACATCACCTCCTTGGGAACAGCCAGGACACAGCCAATTGCAATGTCCCTGATTATTTGCAGCTGCGGCCATAAAGACAAGCATGGCTTAAAGACGCCAAGACCAAAGGCTGCTGGATTTGCAGTATAGCCTTATGCGAGAACCATAGCAACAAGTCCCGATAGTGGAAGCTTAGTGGGGAGAGCAGTCTCCCTGGACGGACCTGGTTTCAAAGTTTGACTCTGACATTTACTGGCTGGGTGACTTTAGGCAAGCCACTTCACTTCTCTAAGGATTACCCCCCTTGCCCGAAAGGGTTCTGATGATGGCATTATTCCACAGGGCCCATAAGGATGGTGTCAAATTACGAAAACATGCCTCACATTCAATTACAAATAAAAATGTTAACTGTTAGGGCATTGTCGCTGAGTCTAGATGAGTCCAAAACCAGATCCTTAAAATATTCGGTAGAGCTCCCCAGACAGTGTGTATGAACTCAGGCAGGTCACCAAGCTCTTTGATGAGTGTGCACCTGCACCTCAGGATGTGTGAAATCAGAGTCTACCCCCTAGACATTTCTGCCATTGCCACCTCTTTCTATTCTCTGGTACCCTGTTTCTGCAACCGTACACTTTAAGGGCTGTTTTCTTTTTTAAAAATTTATTATAATTATTTATTTACAATTTATATAGTTTATGTGTGTGTGAACATACTCAAGGTTAGAGGACAGCTTGAGGGAAGTGGATCTCTCCTTCCACTATGTGGGACTGCAGGACTGAACTCAGGTCACCAGACTTGGTGACAAGTACCTTTACCTGTTGAGCTATCCCATTGGCTATCTTTCCTTTTATTTTCCGTGTGTGTGTGTGTGTGTGTGTGTGTGTGTATGTATATCTGTGCACATGTGTGGATGTGTGCACCTATGCATGCATGTGTGTTTGGCCAGAGAAGGATGTGGGATGTTCTGCTCTATCGCTGTCTGCCTATTCCTCTGAGATAGGGTCTTACTGAACCTGGAGCTGGCAACCAGCAAGTACCAGCGGTCCTCCTATCTCCATCTCTACCACACTAGGGTTACTGATTGGCACAGACACACCCCACTTTCTACGTGCATTCTGCGGTCTGAATTCAGGTTGTGCACGATTATGATTGTGCAATGAATGCTCTTACCAACTGAGTCATTTATCCAGCTCTTCAAGGGCTCCATTTCTACCCACCCCCTCCTCGCCAGTAAGAACTGATAAATCATTTAGACTAACATACAAGTGACTGCCGTGTCCAGTGAAACAGTTTTCACGTGTAAATGGGACAGAGCATGAGCCAAGGCAATCAAGGAGAGTCAATGAGATTTCTAGCATTCACCAAAGTAATGAAAGAAAACTTGAGGAGCCCAGGAGCTGTTTCTTAACTCCACAGATTTCTGTTCACTGAACCAAATGATGTGATTATATATCATGAGGTGGGCTGTTTCTCTAAAGGGATTTGTTCACCATTTTTATCCACCTACTTCCTTTGGCACACAAACAGACACATTTCATAAGAATCCAACCCCTTCCCGTCTACACATCTGTGATACTTACAACTAAATGTTTGCTCTCCAGAGCTTAAAGCCTGAGTTGGCTGCCTCCATGAGTTTGTCGGAGACTCGGCTACAAACTCATTCATTGCTCTTGTGTAAACAGAGACAGGCCAGCTCCCATGTCTATACTCCAAGGTCTTAGGCTTTTAATTCTCTGCAAAACCGTTGTTAAGATGGGTTCTCAAAACTTTTCAAAACATTTTGAATCTTTATATATGATAAAATTGTATGATCCACTCCATGACCCCTCATTTTAGCATTGAACATTAGCAACTCATGACCCAGCATGCTCATCTGTGTCCTAAAACCTCTATTCCACAATTTCAAGGCACATTCCAGGTGTCATATGATATCATGGTCAACAAAAGCCACCTTTTCAGAGGAGACATCCTTCTTGCCTCTTTTCCGTGAAACTGAGAACACCTGATACTTGTATCTTTGTGTACCAGATATGGTCTTGGGAAAGCTCTGAAATTTCCTGCATTATGTCTAAAGTTCTCTTCTGTCCTTTGGGTGAAAGGGACACACACTTATGCTTGCCAATGATATCTCCATGTGTAAGCATCTTGGCATCAGTAGGTGTGCTGTGATGAGGCCCAAGCTAAGAGGCTGGAGTCAGTTCAGAGCACAGCGGGGCTCCCGTCTTGGTTAGGACGCCTATTACTGTGAAGCACACCAGGACCAAAAACATCTCAGAGAGGAAAGGGTTTGTTCCAGCTTACAGCTCTCAGGTCCCACCATTGCAGAGCAAAGTTAGCATGGAACTCAAGACAGGAACCTGGAGGCAGGAACTGAAGCAGAGGCCATGGAGGGGTGCTGCGTACTGACTTGCTCACCATAACTTGCTCAGCCTGCTTTCTTGTAGACCCTAGGACCACCAGCCCAGGAATAGCATTATTCATAATAGACTGGGCCCTCCTACATCAGTCAAAGGTCCTACAGGCTTCCATAGAGGCCAATCTTATGGAGGCATTTTCTCAGTTGAGATTCCCTCTTCTCAGATAACTCTTTTAACAACTCTTTTGTCAAGTTGACAAAACAAAGCAAAGAGACAAAACAGAAACAAAAATCAACCAAAACAGCTCTTTATATTTCAGATGTGTTACTTCCCTTAGCTTTTTTCAAATCTAACTTTACTTCTATTTCACAGAAAACTGAGACAAGAAGCCACACAGAATATCTGTAGCAGCTGCCAATTAAACTGTTTATTTTCAATAGACACTGATGGATTGTTTCATTTCCAGGGTCCTTTGAAGTCAGTTTTGGCCATGTGACCAAGTTTTGGTCAAGGTAACACTGGCCAGTCTCCACAAAACTCCCAGGGTGACCCTGTGTACACTCTATCTTTATCTTGATCCAGTGGCTAAACAGGGTTTCAGAGGATGTAATGAAGGCCCAGCCACAAGAGGAAAGGAGCTTGGATTCCTAGGTGACTGTGTGGAACATAGAGAGACCCTTCCTAGCCTTCTGTGGCCTGTGAAATGAGCAACAACATAAACTGTCATGGGAACTGTTGGAATGTGGGTGCTGCACATTGGAATAACATGTCTACCCTTATCAGTACAGTGCTCTACAGAAGCTATAAGCCCTAAGTCTGACTATGCCTCTGCCTAGACTTCCCTGCACGTCACTGCTTTTA